GTGGGTTTTGAAATGGTGGAAGAAAAGGCGGGAGTGCACTCCTTGTACACGGCCGATCGGCGGTCCATGATGAACATGAGTTATCGATGTGTCAGTTTTGTGGCCCGGAAAAAAGTTCGGCTGCCGGAACCAGGACAACGATCGTCGGCAGCATCGCATGGTAGTGGAGGAAACTCGTCATTATCGAGTTCTGCCAAGAGCTAACTAAACAGACACGTGACCGAGAGACGACAATCTATTTGGAACATTAGAGGGAAGGCGAGGAAGAAGGTTCGAACGTCGGAAGGCTGCAATAGCGCTGTCAGGATCGATCAGCTGTGGTGTGTGAAGACCCTGAATCCACAGTTTCTAGGACTAGTCCAGCCACAATGACCACAAGGCCTGGCCAAGGATCTCTGTTGTGGTAGCTATGAAAGTATAGACTATGCTATGCCACTTGCTCCTTCGTGAGAGACTTGGTTCAATTCAAAAGCTGGCTACTTAAATTAGATCAATAAAGTTGGTCAATCCGCTGCAGGCTCATTATTGTTGTTGTTGTTGGCGATTTGATCCTGAATGTGTCGACAGAGCTCTTGCTCGCTGCCAGAAATCCTGGATTGGCTACATGCTCGAAACAAACCAATCATGTGATGAAGATTGTGAATAAAGAGAAGGATCTCTGCCAAGAGCTCCTTCGTCTTGACCAAATGGTAAAGATACGCCCGGCAGTGTTGTTGGCACGTCAAGCACGAGCATCCGGCGAGGATGGGATTAGCATCCCGAATCCAACGTTCCGAGTCTACGAGAAAGCACCCGTCCTCGTCCACCGATGAGGGCTCCAGCTTTGGTCGTTTGGGATGATTGCGGTTCTTCCAGTTTCCAACATCACAGACAAAGGCTTTCTTTTGTTTGGCCCACTGTATGGGTAGATTGGTCCCAATGATGTTGATCCCCTGCTGAAAACACTCCATGACTTGTTCCAGTGAATTGGTGGAGAGGACTGCAAGGGTTGTTGTGGCGGGAGCATTCTTGATTCTTTGGATGGACTGTTGCAGTAATGACACTCGTTGAGATGCATCGGATATGGTTTGCCAATTGACAAAGGCGACCCCATTGACAGACTTGTTGTCCAGTGCGTTCTGGATGGACTCGAATTGTTGCGTTACCCCAGGATCTTGGTCCTCTTTGGCAGCCGCCACCAAACAGGATGCCCACAAGGTACCATCCGAAGCATGACTCTTTATAGTTTCTTCCCGCCAAGCATTGGTGCGTTCCAAAGAGGCTCGTTTCCTCTTTGCTTTGGCATCTTCGGTACAAACATCAAAGAGCGTCACGCTGGCATGAGATTGCAAGCCGTTGGTTGCTGCCGTGTCATAGGCCTCCCGGGTCAACTTTTGTCGTCCAAACTCGGTCCATACCATGATATGATCATTGGAAGCTGTCACATCCACTACATTCTTGTGTGAATGCCGTATGGAATCCTGACAAGGATCAAAGGTGGGAACCGTCACGCGAGTGTAGGGTAGCAGCCACGCATCCGGTTCGGTAGTGGCAGAAAACGCATATCCACTGGGTTTGCTCTTTTTCTTTTTCTTGTTTTTTGTTTCATCAGTATCCTTTTTTGGTGCTGCCATGAAGGGAGAGATGCAGGCATCCCGCACGGCTATTCCAATCCACAGGAAATCCTTGACTTGCTCGATGGGAAAGCATGTTTCCAAAAGATGAGGGGTCAAGTACGGTATAGCACCGTCCACTGTATGCAGCAATAGTCGAACTGCCTTTTCACCACCATCATCATTGGAGCTGGGCGACGAAGCAGAACACTTGTCCCGTTTGGATGCCATATTGCTTCTACTGAATTGGTTCCTTCTACTGTTGGTCCTAACTGGAGTTGTGTTTCGAGGTTGGTTGGTGCTGGGGTGGGTGAGTATAGTATATCCCCAGCTCTAAACTAAATCATAATCATTCATTTTTGCATCCGGGGGTCGGTTTATTCGGTTTTTTTCAGCGTTCGTCTCCTGTTTCCTCAGTTTGCTCGCTACTTGGATCCATATGACAAAGCAATCCAGCCATTGTAGCCAGCTACGGGGTACCGTAGGCAGAGAGTTACATCGATCCGTGACAGTGGCAACAGTACCGAACACACTCAGGTTCCGCTTTACTGGCTACACTCCGTTACCGGTACCTTGCATTGGATCCTTATGACGAATACATGCACAACCGAACATTGTCAATCCAGCCATCGTAGCCAGCTATCGAAGAGTTCATCGATCGGTGACAGTGGCAACAGTACCGAACACACTCAGGTTCGACTTTGCTGGCTACACTCCGTTGCCGGTATCTTGCATTGGATCCTTATGACGAATACATGCACAACAGAACATTATGAATCCAGCCATTGTAGCCGGCTGCCGTATAGCTAGTGGCAACAGTACCGAAAGTTCGGCTTTGCTCGCTACACTCCGTTGCCGGTATCTTGCATTGGATCCTTATGACGAATACATGCACAACCGAACATTATGAATCCAGCCATTGTAGCCGGCTGCAGTATAGCTACATCGACGACAGTACCGAAGTTCGGCTTTGCTCGCTACGGTTACCGGTACCTCGCATTGGATCCTTATGATGAATACATGCACAACCGAATATTATCAATCCAGTCATTGTAGACAGTTACCGTAGAGTTACATCAATCGGTGACAGTGGCAACAGTACCGAACACACTCAGGTTCGGTTTTGCTCGCTACGCTCCATTGCCTCACCATTACAATGAATACAGGAATATTGTCAATCCAGGCTCCACCAAGTCCTCGACGACTGACTTGTGCATACAGGAAAATGGGTACCGACACAGGAATCACCAACCAAACACTAGGAAATAACACTGGAGGGATGAATCCAGTAGTAGGATCCACTCTCTTGGTGTGTGTTGTCGCGTAGCCTCTTCTTGTTGCCTTTCAATGACTCGACGACGATCTCCACCGTTCAGACTGTTGGTAGGGCTGGAGTTAACAGAACCTCCTCTTGTTCTCCGGAGCGATCTCCTCTCTTGTTGTTATCCGGAGCGACCGTTCGTTCGTTCGACCTCGACAATGGGATTTCCTCGGCCGTCGGCAGTGCAGCAGAGAAAACAACAAATAGATATGAGTTTTGTTTTCTGTGCTCAACAGCAGACGACCGGAGACTTACTCTTGTTTTTCAAATTGCACCAACTTGACCATCATGGGCCGAGAACTGACTGCCATCCCATGGTCCATAGGATTCAATGAGGGATGGCTTTCGAATCTGCACCGGAGAAGGACGGCTTGAGTGAGGCTTGGAGTACAGAGGTGCAATCAATCGACTCGATTCGAATAATTAATGAACAACTCACCTGTTGACGGCCGAGCTTGGAATTCTCTCCTGTTTACCATATAAATTCAATGAGGGAGAGAAGTCAGCGCTGTACCTTCAAGTAACACTCTTGATAGATACCGGTACTTCGAATCGATTCGATCGATCGGCCGATTGGATAAAGCACTCACCATGCATTGTTGTCGGCCAAGCTTGGATTTCTCTCCTGTTTACCATAGGAATACAATGAGGGAGAGATGTCAGTCCTGTGCCTTCAATTGAACCATTCATCGTACTGTACCGTACTCAATCAGTTTATCCTTAACCTTAGTAACTTCAACGGTTCTTTTTATCCACGAATCGATCTAAATCTTTCGAAGCACATGACCGTTGATTCTGCAACTGAAGTGCGGCTACTCTATTTGCCACAGTAAACGCCGGCAAATCGATTTCAGAGTGCAACTGAGGGGGTAACCAAAAGGTGCGTCGTCTCATGAGACGTAACATGAGCGTAACGTCGTAGTTTAGGTTATCTAGCGCACGTACCGGTACCTGGTACAGTACCGTACGAAATCCAGTGGGGGCCAAACAGAGTCAAATATTTCAGCTATATTCTGTATGTAACGGGGGGCAATAAGACCATTTCGGGGGCGAAAGGGTGGGGATCGACAGAGACTCCCGATAGCGTACCGGACAATAGAAAAGTTCAATCGAGATTGGAGTTGAATGAAGAACATCATCTTATTTGGGAGTAGGAGAACTGAGTTTTGTTGGCATTGACCATCTTGGACAAACGTCCCCTCACGTTTCTTTATTATTTATTTATGCTGTCAGAACAACAGCGAGGAAAAGATCGAACAGATCATGAGTGAACAACAGGAGCACTTGGGCAGCGTCAATGAGATCAGCGGTAGCAGCAGTCCAGAACTGGATTGCGTCAAACTGGCCAAGACAATTGAAGAGCACCCAGAGCTGGCATACGAAAGGAATTATAGTCTTCATGGCTTCGATGTCATCCCTCTTTATGAACTGGTGGCAAAAGGAGCCAACTTGCAAACTGTTGTAACTGTGTATGATTTGGCTCCTGATGCCATTGAATCTGCTTACCACGAGCATCCTACTAGTATCACGAGGCCGAGGACGAGGAAAATCCAACCGGGATTGGAAATGCTGTCCAAAGAAACTTCAAGACCCAGTGTCCTCTTATTTCTGATCGAGAAACACCCAGATTTGGTGGCCTCTCTGGAAGTCTATGTTGCTGGCCGTATCATCCGCAATCTCCTGTGCAATGTTACCCACCTCAACCAAGAGGAACTGCCCAATCTGGAAATATTGCTTCAAAAGCTGCTGGACTCTATACCCAAATGCTGCCGTTTCAGTCACCTACATCAGATTTGTTTGCTCGAGGGCTTTTCGGATGCTATCATCCAAACATTTGCAGAGAAAACATTACATGGACTGCACCATTTTCACATGCATGAACCAATTGTCAGCGAGGGGTACTTGAAAGCACTCCGGTTAAAATTGCCTTCTTCGGCACATTTGGCATTTGGTAGTTGGGTCAGGTATGGCACACTATTCCCAATCTGATCAACACAATTGCCACAGATGGGACAAACCTAAAGTCTCTGGATCTGTTCTTGCCATCAGGGTTGAATGATGATTCCAGCGAGACGCGCCAGCTAGTCTGCTCTCTTCTAAAGGTTGCAAACATGCCCAAGATGACGCGGCTCATGTTGAAAAGTTCTTCAAGTCAGCTGCAGCAAGCCAACGATAGCCTCATTTTTGGTGATTTGGTGGTGGCAATCAGGGAAAGGAGCACTCCTATTCCTTATGTGGAGCTGTCTCAGTTTCATCTTGTGGGTGTTTCGGAGGCTCTAGCATCATTGTTCCTCTCTCCAAATGGTCCCATGGAACTGGCATTGCTGCGCTGCCATTTTGAAGGTGACTTGCAGTTCTCAGTGACACCCACTGTGGACACACCACATGCATCAACTCTGAATAGACTTGTCATCAGTAAAGTGGATACCTCTTGTGATGGTCTGCAGGCAATAGTGAGTATGTTGTCACAAATGCAGAGTTTGGAATTTTTGGAGTTGTCAACCAGACAGTTTCATGAGGCCACAAATGATGGGGCCGAGCATATTCTGGCTCTAGTACAACAATCCAAGCAACTCAAATCCCTGAACTTGGCTTTTTTTCGAGAATCTCATCTTGGACGACTATGGGACATTTTGAGGCCAGGGGATCACAGATTGGAATCGTTGGGCTTGATGTTGCTACCAGAAACGGCCCACATCAGCCATGAGGGCCCTCGACGAGGTAATGACATGGGTAGAAACGTCAC